ATGTTTTGAGAGTTTATTATTCCTGGTGGCGAAAGATTACGTTCTATTTAATTTGAACTTTTTTCTTAATTTTGAAAAATTCATGACCATAATTGGTCTGTTCGGTAAGCAGTGACACAGCCATGGGCCATGGAAGAAATAAAAACATGACAAATTCCATTGTGCAAACAGTTAATTTATAAAGTTAAGGATATGTGAAGTACCACAAATATTAAAATGACGATTTTTTAAGTGCGCTCGATGTTCAGTGTCATATCGATATGTCACAGTGACCCACTGCGACATAGCGACCTGCAATGCCTTCATCCGGCCCTATTCTTCGATTCAAATGAAGTAACTTCTGATGTTTGATCATCTGGGACGCTGTTAGCCAATAGAGATTTTGAATATCAAAAACGAAGGCGTAACGAAGCTCGCGATTCGATACGCGAATCCAGCTGATCAAACGTCTCGTATACCATAAAACAGCATCGCCGCAAGCGTCCAGTGGGTTCGCTCGCCATGCGGATCGCGGACGCGGAAAGGGGCGGCCAGAGCGCGAGGCCACTCACCCATCGCCGTCCAGCGTGATGGAGGTGTCGGCGAGCACCCGCAGCACCAGCCCCACGGTGGTGCGGTCGTTGCAGTCGATGCCCAGCAGGCAGCTCTCTTCGGCGTCCTGGCGCCCCACGCACGACACCACCACCAGGTAGCGGGTGCGCCCCGAGTGCGCGCTCTCCAGTTTGACGGCCTGCAACACACAACAAGCGCATTCATCAGTGATTGCAGATTAAGACTATATACATGTATACGTAACATTGTTAATATGATGGACAACATTCATAAACGATGAGTCAAGCGCCGGTGAAAGAAAAATTATTTTGTGTGTTCTCTAGTCAAAGGCGTCAAGTGTAGACCTGGTTCACTAGTATACAGGAAACAACTAAACAGAGATGACGCTGGAATCAGTTGAACAACGGCGAAATTCTATTATCTAAAAATCATTGGACCACCTTTTCTTTTATTGAATAGTGATGTCCAAGAGCCGGATTATGAAACTCTCACCGTAAGTAAACGTAAAGTACATATGTGCGTCTAATTTGAAGCAATGTCCAATTGCAAGGAATTCATCTGGGTTATATAATATCACTATTTGCTGATCACAAAGTAGACACGATTAGAAATCTTAAAAGGAATTATCCCTTCCTTTAAAAATACTTCGCACATACGAGACTTCATTATAATAATAAAATTCCATTTTCTTCTCAAGTAATATGCAATACCAAGAATACGTAACGGGTCCTGTAATCATGTACAATAGACGATATGGAATGCAAATAAACGGCAAAAATACATGTTACCGTAATCGATTAGAAATTATAATTGTGGAATCATATTATTCAAAACAATGTAATATGAAAATTAAAAATGTACAGAATTCTCTCGAATAAAAAAAAGATAAATGCATTACTCTCATTGTTCATACATTCACCAAGCTTACATTCACCAAGTTAAAAAGGGGGAACACAGTAATGGATTGTTCAGTTTGTAATAGAGCAAACAATACATGACATAGACTGTCTATTAATCAACTGAAAACATGACTTATCGATTTTCTATATGCAATGGCATTTGCAAAGCAGTTTTTCATTAACAGCCTTTGTTCTGTAGTACCAACAGGAAATATCGTATAGCTTTCATGTCATAACGGCAATCGATGATTATGTCAAACTGAAACTTGTCAACCTTGTCAAGTTCGCTTTTGGCTTCGGAAACCTATTTTGTATGAATATCGCTCCTAGTTCCCAAGTCGACACCGGTCGGCAGCGCGCCCGGCGACGGAATGTTTATGCAGTCAACAGGCGCTAACTCATCCGAATAGACCACGCCCGGGTTTCGTAAAAGGCGAGCTCAGGCCGACAGGCGACGAGTCGCTCCTAGGGAACCAACGGCTCCGACCGGCCTTCTCGTGTAAAAATGGAAGTCGCCCCAAATGGAGAGGACCAGCCGAGATCCCCATCGGCCTACCGCGCTTTGCATAGGCACGCAGCCGAATAAACGGGTTCCGACTCTGCCCAGCCATCGGACATGGCAGTCGAGGCGCAAGGGCGACCAAATGAGCCGCCTCGCTAGAGATAGCTGGGAGGATGGCCAGTGAAGGGAGGGACTGAGAACCGAACACGATTAGATTTCGATTTGACTGCATTTATGGGCAACGTTGTTTGTCGAAGATTACTCAGATGTGTCTTTTTTAGACATTAGCTGATTCGCTTCTAAGAAGGAGATATTCGTACATAGAAAAAGCATTATTATGATAAAAAACGACGAATGAATAAAAGATTTATAACACTTCTGATTAACGAGTAACTCTTTACTTTGAAGTCACATAAAGA